GGGAGGGGGGCAGGGGAGAGGCAGGGCCAAAGGAGAGGGAGACAGGTGTGTCGGTAGCTGTAGCGGGGAACTGGGGCACAGGAGGATGTCCAGTGCTCAGTTGTAGGCAGGCAGCCTGGGCAGGACATGGGAACAAGCGTTGATGGTGGGCATGAGGCCCAGGTGAGCAGGCAGAGGTATCCCAGCTTGGGGCAGGGGTGGGTGGGGTTGCTTCAAGTAGGGCTGTGCAGTGGGGGGCCTGGAAGGATTCAGAATTTCAGAGGTGACCTGCTTCCAGGTAATGGCAAGTCCACAGTGGTTCTGTGGCTAGCAAATGGATGGGAGGTTGAGACTGTGGGCCTAGGGACCCCAGGATTGGACATCACAGGGTGGGGTTAACCAACCAGCACCGCCAGCCTCCAAAGGGTCCCTAATTCTTACTGAGAGGCCTGCTCAGGCGTGGTCCTCGTGAGGACATTCTGGCGTGGCGCATAAAGCAACCATTAAAGTTTGTACAATTTTTTTTCCCAAAACCATGTAGGACAACCTTCCTGATCCAGAAGACAAACAACACATAACCAAGAGTCATCACAGAAGTTCTAGTCTCCCATGTAAATCTGCAAGGTGGACATTCCTGCTTTCTGTAGTGATCATTCTTACCTGATTTTGATTCTCTGTTTATTATACCCTGGGGGGCAGGGAAGGAAGAAAGGGAAGGCAGTTGGGCCACAATGTGATCCCTTATTCTCAACTTCCAACTGCACTGAAAATCCTCACATTTCCAACAGTTCTCTCGGTACTCCCAAAATATACACATGATAGAGCATATGTATTTAATATCAGAAACTCCTTTCTGATGATGGTTGTAGAAGACGGAACCAAAACCCCTCTAGCGATCAACCCACTTTTCATAGTCTCTTTACTCCATTTACAAATATATAGATGATAAAGATAATACATACTGGTAAATATTCAAATGGCACAGAAATGAGTACGAGAGATGACAAAAGGCCTCTGTACTTGAGGTAAGGCACTAGGGGTGGCAGAAGGGTCAGGTCTGTGAGCTACATATATTAATTAGTAGGTAATAAAAGCCAGTTATTTTACCTTTTGAAGCTTTTGATTCGACATACATTTGGCCCTGCTTTGACCTCTAACATCCTTTAATCCCCCCCTTTCAGAATCTACCCCAATTTCCTGCGACCACCTCACCCCCCCCTTATTTGACTGTGTTCAAGCACCTTCTATCCGATTCTAGAATTCTTAATTTACCTTGCAGTACTGCAGCAGTCTTGTTTTCTAAATTTTTTTTCTTTTTTTTTGCAAACAATCATGAGTTGGGCCCAATAGCAACATAGGCTCTCACGGGCTAGCCTGGCAACCCTGTGCTATTTGTAACACATTTCCTTGGGAAAATCCTTTCAGTTTTACATACGAACTACTGGGAGATGCTTACTTGTAAAGTGGGGGCCTCTATAATCTCAATTTTTGTTCTACCAAAAAGAGCTCTCCCTTAGCCCCACCTGCCCTGTTACTAAGGTAGGCTTTGCTAGCAGGGACTCTGGGGCCTGACTGCCTGCGTGCCAATCCTGGTTCTGAAACTTACTAGATGTGTGAACTCCGGAAAAGTATTCAACCTAAACAAGCTAATATATGGAAAGTGCCTGGCACAGCAGTAAGCACTGCATAATAAAAGAGCTGGGAGAGATTAGTCAAGAAAGCCCTTTGCCCCTAGTTCTGGGAGGCCGCAGACCCCTTTGAGGCTGGTGAAAGCTACAGGTCCTCTCCCTAGAAAAGTGCACACAAATGTAACCCTCTGCACAGTTGCAGGTGTAGCTGAAGCCCATCCACAGCTGCAAGGGTCAAGGAGCCCTGGTTCCAGCGCTCTGGTTCTCTTTACGGTGATGTGAGGATCTCAGGGGCAGAATACCATGGTAATTCCTGAAGTATTATGTTCATATGCATGGAACTGTCAAGCAGGTTCCTCCTGCCCTCAGTTTAGGCTCCACTTTTGGCAGAAATGTTACACCTTTCTTCCTCAAAGCCCCTGTGACCCTTGCCAATTTTCCTCTCGCTTCAGGTCATCTCTGGGTCACCTTAAGACAATCTCTCTGTGCCACAAAGCTCCACATGCTTTTTGCTAATTATTCTCATCCTTCCCCAAAGGATGGTCTGGCCCCTCTTTAGTGCTTACTGAAGTCAGACCAGAGCATGGACTAGTAGTATATGCTGGCCCCCACCAGGGGGAGGCGCCATACAGGTGGACGCTGTGTAAGCCCAGGTTCTTTCCCTCAGTAAAGCTTGGAGACAGCACACACCAGCAAAAGCCAAAGATCTGAGAAGCCAGAAGGAACTTGTGGGATGATCTAATTCCCTCGTTATTACTCTTCCAAGTCATTCCAAGTTGGGTGACTTGCCTGAGTCACCCAACTCATTCGCAGCAAAGCTGTGAACCTCCCAGTTCGGTACTTTGATTCCATCAGTATTTCTTAGACTTTACCACGCACGGGAATCTTGTTAAGATGCAGATTCAGCAGGTCTGGGGTAGGCCCGAGATCTTGCATTTCTAACAAGCTCTCAGGTGATGCTGATGCTGCTGGTGCATGGACCACATACAGAGTAGCAAGAGTTTACATCAAGGCTAATGGACTATCCCACCTGGTTAAAGCCTCTTCACCCACCCTTTGCATGGCTGTTTAAATGCCCTTTCTTCCGGAAAGCCTCCCTTCCCCCATCCTCCCTGATTATTAGCTCCCATGGTCTTTGTACTTTTTCCTTTGAAGCATTTATAACAACTGTAATTAAAGAGTATTTGTTTAATTATTAGTTTAATGTCTGTCTCCCAGGGAGACTGCAAGCTCCATGAGGACCGGACCAGCAGACTGTCGATAAAAGGGCAGCTGTTGTGGGCTGGAGCAGCCTGGACCAGCATCCTTGGAGGAGGAAGGGAAGGCTTGTACTGGTGGGAAACACCTTCTAGAGGCCTCATGGCCAAGGGTGACACTTCTGCCTTTAAAATTCCCACCAGTTTCAAATACATGCCGACTAAAATGTAACTTGAAAAGCAACCTTTAAAAAACAAAAAGTCTCCTAAATCTTTATCAAAGATGTACTGAACAAATATATGTGGTAAATAAAAATAAATTTGAATAGTGGGATAAATTTTTTTTTAAAAAGTCTTTATCAAGTGCAAAACAGTCCCAATTTGGTACTAGCCACTCTGCCTGGGGAATAATTAGGTCCCCAGTAAATATTCCCTTACAGTCCTCAGACACTGTGAGGGCCTTGGCAAAAGAAGCAGAGGGCCTGCTCCCTGACCAGCCTCATTCTGTTGCAGATCAACAATTTCTTTTCCAATTTTTCTACTGCCATCCTTTCTAGCAACCCCAAAGCTCTGAATGCCCAGCTCCTTGGAGTGGGCAGAGATATCTGAACTCATCATCATTCTAGGGTGGCCAAGTTTGAAGTCAGTCCGCCTGGGTTCAGACACCAGCAGTTCTGTGCCCTTGTATGTAACTAATTTCTCTGTGCTCCAGTTTCCCAATCTGCCAGATGGGAATAACAATGCAGTAACTAGCACCTGTGAGGACTAAGGGAGATGATACACATAAATCACTTACACAAGCCTGGCCCAAGATCTACGATTATTATTATCCTCCCCATATCCGGTCCAATTCAAGATCTCTCTATTGTTTCACACAAGTCTCCACCCAGTGGCTCCACCTCATTCAAAATTTACTCTTCCCAGCCCCTCCTGCCTTACCTGTCTGGAGCTTGTTCGAAGCAATGACTCACTGCAAAACTCTGCAGCTCCCATCAATCACCTCCCTGTCTCTGCCTCTGTGTGTCATTTGTGGGTCCCTGCTGGGAGGGAAATCTTTTTCCTCATGTCCAGTACCTTTATTCAACAAGTATTTATCGAGGGCCCACTATGTGCCATGTCCTGTTCTAGGCACAAGGGCTTAGCAATGAACAAAGAAAAGAGCTCTATCCTCATGAACTGAAAGTAGTAAGAGATCTAACCCACGAATAGAGATCAGTTCGGGTCTCTGGCCCTTCCTTACGTCCCCATTCTTTTCCCTGACCAAGCCTAAATAAATCACACACAAGTACAAAGCATGAAGAAAACATTCCAGATCAAAAAATGCTCAGTGTGACTTGGGCACATCCCGATGACTAAACTGCTGCCCCGTTAAACTGGTAGACGTTGAAGAAGTACGCATTGTAACAGCCAGAAACACCCGGTTTCCCCAAGCAGTCACACCAGCCGTCAAGTCCTCCAGAACAGTATGTGTAACACAACTAGAAAATAAGGTCCTTCATTTACTTATCTCATGAGGGTAGGATAAGCCCATGTTTTCATGTTCTCACAGCCACATTCTTCAGATGAAGCCTGATTCGTGTTCCCCAGCAGGAATACAGGCAGCAGCCTTGTGTTAACAGCACGGGAAATGGACTCTGAAAGCCCAGGTTTCAGTGCTGGCTCTGTCGCTTACTGTGTGATTTCAGGCATGGAGCTTTTCTCATGCCTCACTTTCTTCAGACAACCTCTAAGGTCCTCTTCCAGTTTTGCAGTCTAAGGGCTGGGATCAACCACCATTAACATGAGACACAGCAGATTCACAGATTCCTTAATTCAACAAAATGAGCCCCTGCCCTCAGATCCAGGGGGTGAGCAAGCCGATGAGGAGCCTGTGGACAGCATCCTGAGATGCACCCAACTACTCCTTTACTTATTTACTCCCTTCTAACTTCAAACCTGAGCTTTCCAAGCACAACTCATAGAAATATCCCTGGGCCACAAGGCAAACCCAAAACAGAAGGCATGCAAAATCTCCGGTGGGCCCATTAGTCTCCCTTCCTCCAACTCAAAAAACCATTCCAGACCATGTCCATCTCCTTGTCTCTAGACAGGGAGCCTAAAATTAGTCTCCCTGGTAGAAAATGCCTCGTTAGAACGGAAGTGACCCAAGTGTAGAACAAATGGCCCGCTGGCCACACACCACAGGACAAGGACTCACCCGGGAATCCGCTCTGAGAAGAGTGAACCTCTGCTCCCACTGCAACTCACGGCATCTGCCTCCATGGGCATACAGGCAACCAGGTGAGCCTGGAGGAAAGAAAAATGTGACCCAAATGGCCAACTCCCCTACCCTAAAGAAAGCAGCCCTACCCCCACTGCCCTCATGCAAGAAAGCCGGGTCCTTCAGGTTAGTGGAGCACTAGTGCGGCTAGAACTACAGGTGACCAATTAGAGGTCCTGTTCCCAGACTGGCAGGTGCCTGGCACAGAGCAACGCGAGGTTCGAGGGCCAGCTGACAAAACCACCATGAGAGCTCTAGAAAATAACATTCGCTTTAAAACAAACGAGAAAGGGACAGCCATACTAAGTCTCAAAAATCAAAACCAGACAGGCCCATGGCTTTGATCACAAACACTAAGAATACATTTTCTAAAGTCTAAAGACAATTAGGGGTGGTTTACTTCCCCTCCCCCACCTGGCCCGGCGGGTCCTTTGAAGGCCCCTGGTGAGGGCAAAACAGGGATGCAGGCTCCAGGCCCTCTACTTGGAAGAAATGAACTTTGACTGTTTTTACTTACACGTGTACAAAGGCAGGACTGAAAGAGCAGCTTCAAAGTTGGCTGGGTGACCCCCAAGGTTCAAAGTCCCTCTCCGCACACCTATGTGGGAATCTTGTGAGTTTCCCAGGCGCCCACCGGAACTGGTTATGTCCCCTCCAGGTCTACACCTGCTGGGAGTTTCCATTTTGCACAGAAATAAAGGCGCTCTGGGTGCCCTTAGCAGTTAGGGCGCTCGGTCCGCTGCTCTAGGGTGGGCCACGAGGACAGTCCCTCATTGGACCTCTCAGGCCGGGAAGGGCCAGCACCTCGTAGTGACCCTGTAAAGACGCACCGGGCTGCGGCTACGCCTTGCCCGAACCATCGCAGAGCTCAGAGATACATTAATGATCGTTTCGGGTTAGTTAAAACCTACGCAAGCACCTCCCTGGCCTCTTAAATCTTCCCAAACTACTGCTCAGACTGGAGGGAAGCAGTTGCAGCCACCATAAAAGTCATCTTAAAAGGCAAGTTGGAAAAAAAACCGATACGCACTAGTTAGCAAGTCCGCGGTCAGGGGGGCGGTGGCACGAGGGCCGGATCTGTGGGCTCTGCACGCTGGCGGGGGCTGTCCCGTTGGCCCCCGAGTCCCCGCGCCCACCTGGCAGCCTCGGGGCCACTAATCTGACGCCGGCGATCACACCCCACAGCTCTGTCCAATTAGGAAAATGACCGCGAGGAGACGGAGAGAGTGGGCGACAAGGAAGGGGAACTGAGACTGAGGAGGCTAAGGACAGGCCGTGGAGACCCAGCCGGCCGGCGAGCGCCTTCAACAGGTCCCCGCCCCGGAGAGCGGGGCGTGCGGCGGCCTGCTGCCCCGGGGGCGCCCCCGACACCCCGGCGGCGCGCCCAGCCCTCCCCCACCCCGGACGGCGGGGACGCGCAGCAACCCCACCCGCCGGGAGAATAAAGTTTGTGGGCAGCGGCGGGGCGGCGCGGCGAGGGGGTGAAACTTTGAGTCCCGGGCGGGCGGCGGGGGGAGCGTACTAGGCGCCGGGATACCCACGTGCGGGCCCGCGAGCCGCCGCCGCCGCCGCCTCCGGGCCTCCCGCCCCGCCGCCGCCGCCGCGCTTTCCTTTCATTTTTGCTTCTCTCTCTCTCTCTCTCTCCCTCCCTTTCTCTCTCTCTCATTCGCGCGCTCTCCCCGCTCTCGCCCTCTTTCGCTCGCTCGCTCCCTCCTTCCCTTCCCCCCCCCCCCCCCCCCCCCCCCGCCAGACGCCATCTCTCCCTCTTCCCCTGGCTCTCCATGTCTCCCTCCAGCTCTCCGGCATGAGGGAATGTGGAAGTGAAAGGAAAAGACGACATGTTTGCGGCGCGGGCCTGCGCGCGGCCGTCCCCGGGGAGAGGCGGGGGGCGGGTCGGCCGCGGCCGCAGTGACCCACCCCCGCGCCCCCCGCGCCCCCGCCGGCGCGCCGCCCGGGGCTGCGGGGTCGGGGGCCCGGGGCCGCGCGGGACACTCACCCTGGGTCCGGGCGCGGCTCCTACGCTGGGGCCCGTGGCGGGCCGGGGCCGGGGCCGGGGGCTCCTGGCTGCCCACCGCCCGGGCTGCTGCTGCGCGCCCGCCGCCCGCCTCCACGCGCGCCCGCCGCCTGCTCCTGCCGCCCTCCCTCCGGCTCCTCTCTTTCTCTCTCTCTCTCTCTCTCTCCCTCTCTCTCTCTCCCCCTCTCTCTCCCTCTCCTCTCTCTCTCTCTCTCTCTCTCTCTCTCTCTCTCTCTCTCTCTCGCTCTCTCGCTCTCTCGCTCTCTCGCTCTCTCCCTCCCTGGAAGAAGGGAATGAGGCAGGGCTGACGTGAAGGGATGCAAAACAGCTCCTCCTAACCCAGCTCGCGGAGGAAGAGAGACAGAAAAGCAGCCCTTTTATCTCTCTTTTGTTTTCTCACTTCCTTCCACCCCCCAACACCCCCCTCTTGTCAGCCCAAGTTTTCTTTTCTCTTTCTACCGCAGAGAGGATTTTTCTTCCTTTCTTTCTCTTTCTTTCGGTTCAACTCTCCCACTCAAATTGAAAGCCTGGAGGGTTTTCTCTCTCTCTTTTTTTTCTTCCCTCTTTTCTTCCTTCTTCCTCCTTTCTTATTTCTCTAAAAGGGTTTTGTTTGCTGTGGGAGTTTCGTTTGAAAATCAAGTCACGCCTTTTTTCCTCCTTTTCTTTCTCTCTCTTTTTTTCTCCTCAGCAGAAAAGGGGAACAAAGATTAACTGAAGCGGGAGAGAGGGGGAGCATCAGAACCTCGCATGGAAATGGGGGGCCCGGTCCTGCCCGGCACAAAGGGGGCGAGCTTCCCCCACCGTGGGAAGCTTGGGGCGTCCTCCCGAGAGGAGAGTCGGCGGGGCTGGGGGGCGGGGGACGCGGGTTCCTTCCGAAGTGCGGGCGGGGGCCGCGGAGCCCGCCCCTCCCCAGGCAGAGGTGGAAGGCTGGGTGTGTTCTTCACTTATGTATTTTTAAAGTAGGCAGATGGGCGTGGAACCAACATCCCCGCGGAGCACTAAACTGTAAGAAGCCTTTAAACAGCTGTTTGCAGAGCCCTGGACGTCCAGACTCGAGGGAGCGGTGCGGACTGCGAGCGCCAGGGCCCGGGTGGGGAAGGGGCTCCGAGGAGCCGCTGGGATCGGCCCCTCGTGGGCTCGCCAATCCCACGGCCCGGGCCTTCGCCCAGGGCGCACTGCTGGGGGACGCCGAGGCGTGGCCGTTGGCAGCGCGGGCGTCAAGCCCCTGGCGCCTTCCTACAGGGCCTCGGGGCTTGGCACAGCCTTGCCCCTCCCCGGCTTCCGACCCGAGCCTCGGCATCTAACCTCCAGCCGCGTCTCCACTCCGAGCCCTCGGACAGGACGCGGTAGAGCCTCCCCGAAGGGTCAGTTATTCATGGGGCGCCTGGGCGTGTTCCCAAGACCTGCTCTACCTTCTGCTTCTCCAGAGAGGTGGGGAGAAAACAGGGGGAAAGTTCCCAGAGCAAAGTTGGCCACATTTCCCTTTTGCCCAAGGAAGTATTGAGCACCTGCTGGATGCCCGGCCCTTGGACTGGGGCTACTGCCAGGGGCTGGGGAGAAACGTGAGTCTTCATGGGCCCTGAGAGTTTCCACAGGAAACAATGCCAGAGGAGACTGCAGCTCAGGACCAGGTCATCGAGAGGAAGGAAAGCCTGGATCCTCTCCCCTCCCTCCTCTCTTCCTTCCCCTTCTCTTCCTTCCTCCCGGCTGCGTCTCCTTGGCTCCACCCCTTCTCCTCATCAATTCCTCCCACACTTCCCTGCTCTCCCTGGCTTTTCACTGGAGGGTCCCTTCTCCCGGCTAGGAGCAGATGCTGAGCCTCATTGTCTCTCCCCCTCAGTGACTGCAGCCTCCCGGGGACAGGACCTGCCACTCTTCACCCCTCCCCCCAGCCCGCAGGCCTGGGCCTTTACAGACCGGAGCCCCAAGGCCACTGACCCTCACCCCACTCTAAACCAGCTCCTGGTGTTGTGAGCAATGACTCCAGTCACTCAGAACATGATTTGTTTCTGACTGGGAGTGAGAAAACAGTAGCCTGGTACTTGCTTTAGCAAGGAGGACACCATGATTTTAGTGTCAGTGCACTGAGCCCTGGATGACCCCAGAGCATCCCCCTGACTTTGCCCTCTTAGTGGGGTATACAGGGAGCTACATTTCTGTCATCTTAGATCCTGTTTAGTGCACCTAAGCTATACCCTCCAAATAAAGCAAAACAGCTCTGACAGTCCAGCATTCACGTAACAAATGCTTACCGAGTACCTACTCTGTGCCAGCTCCTATGCTTGGGTGCTAAGGACCTAACAACCAATGGCACACGCGGTCCTCACTTAGGCTTTGCAGACTGGCAGGGGAAGAAACAAGAAGACAGGCAACCACAATGCCACATGTTACATGTTAAGGATGAACCAAGGAAGCACCAAAAAAAAGGGTGCTTGGACTAGGGTGGTCAGGGATGGCTTCTCCTGGAGGAGGTTACATCTAGATGCGTAGGCCTGTGCCAGGTAAACTCATAGGAAGGCACAGCCTGTCCAAAGGCCCCAAGGGAAGAGAGCACATTCTTGCAGTTTCTTGGAACCTCCACAAGTATTTGCTGCAGTGGGGAGTACAGTGGGGGAGTGGGGACACTGGTGTCAGGGCACAAGGCGGGGCAGGGGAGAGTGGGGAGTGTGTCAGGCAATAAGTAAGGGAGGGGGCCGGATATCAGGGGACTCTGCAGATTTTAGCCTCTCCCACTTGCTAACTTCATGAACTTGGGTGATTATAGTTTCCTTCCTTATAAGATAGGGGTAAAAAGACCAGTGGGCTGCAGAGACAGCGTCTTATGTTTAAGCTCCCAGGCTTATTTGCTGCATATCCCTGGGCCAGTTGACCTCTCTGAATATAAGTTTTCTCATCTGTGAAATGGGGTGAAAACACTTGACTCACAGGGTTTCTGCAAGGCTTAAAAGGCTTAAGACATGCCTAGCTCAGTGTCTGGCACATAAACTCCAATACATGGTAGCTTTTATTCATTGTTATTATAGATCAAGGAGTGACAGGGAGGTGCCTTTACAACCCAGAAATGAGATTTATGTTCTGGGTTGAAACTAGAGTGAGTCACCATGCCTGAAATGCAATGAGCTGGCTGTGGAGGAAGCATTCCTTCAGAGGATACCCTGTGTGCCCACAGGTGGCTGGGACTGGGGAATACCTACGTCTGACCAAGACGGCCAGTGTGTCGTCTCAGGAACAGGACCGGAATGTGAAGACTGTGGTTACCAAGGCCTGGCCTGATCAGTGGAGGTGTAGCTTGCCTGAAGAACAAATAGGAATCAGAAGAGAGTCAGTCTCGTAAAATCCTGGAGGGCCCCTTGGAGCAGGCGCCTGGCTGTGTTTGCTCAGTGAAGAGAAGTAGACACAGAAGTTCACACTGGGGAGGAGAGAGGGGGAGAAAGAGACTTTTGACTCTTCCAGAGCCTGAATTAAATCTCTCAAAACCTCTTAGTCCTTTGCTTGGGTTCCTCATTCTCCAAGCAACCTGCAGATGAACTTGGCACCAACAAAATGCCCCCTGGATCCAGACAGACACCAGGGTTCCAGTTCCTGAGTTGTAAACCTTTTACGCTTCTATTATTTCTTTATGACACAAGTTCATTGTGAGAGAATTTGATAACCAGCTAAGCAAAACTGAAAGAGAACTCCAGTAGAGACATTATATTTTTGTGTGTGTCCTTGGACGTTTTATATCCACATATCTACATGTAAAATGCACATAGTAATAAAACTATGCAAAAAGAATATTGTTAAATGAATGACTATACATGTAAATATATTAACAAAATTTACAAAAACGACGTAACGCTATTCCTACTGAATGGCAACCACTTTTTCCCCGTAATATGTCACAAATAGCTTTCCCTGTTTGTAAACATCCACATTATCATTCCTAACAAATAATATTATTCCATGGTATGCATTTATCTTACCTGTTTAAACAAATTACTGGACTTGTGGGATATTTCCAGTTTTTCACTTTTATGGACCCACTGTGATAGACATACTGTACAGTCACCTTTGTGCCAGGTAAATATCATATTCTTCCCCCCGGCCGCGCTGCATGGCACGCAGGATTTTAGTTCCCCGACCAGGGATCAAACCTGTGCCCCTGGCAGTGGAAGGGCGGAGTCTTAACCACTGGATTGCCAGTGAATTCCCAATGTCATATTCTGATCATCATTTTACAGCTGAGGAGACTGAGGCACAGCAAAGTTTAAAAGTTTTCCAAGGTCATAGCTATTGAGTGACTGAGACAGAATTTGCAGTCAGAGTTTCCAGTTGGGAGTTCCTTTCAGCATCTCTGTTTTCTCCTTTTCTTTAGCGTATCCCCTCCTCATACCTCCCTGTTTTCTCTCCCAGATCACCTCCCTGTGAGAACCAGTCTAGGCAGGTGACCCACTGCCTTCTCTGACACCTGAGTAACTTCAGTAATGTCCATCTCCTGGGGTTGTTGGGAGGAATGAAAGCAGGTGATAAATGACATGTAATGCATGATACTGTATTTGGGAAATTGTGAAGCCTGTGCGAGTGAATGTTAGGAGGTACTAGCAAGGGCCTAAGCTCACAGTCAGATGCCACCACTTTTAGCCAAATCCCCTGACCTCCTCAAACCCAGGAAGGAAGCCTCCAGATTCACACTAGAGAGAAAGAAATCAACTGTTTCAACGCAGAAGCAATAAAGGAGGCGTCCCCCGGGCATTTCAGGAGCCCCACAGTTCCTCCCAACCCCCACCCCAGCCCCACAGCTGGAACGGGAGGGAAGATTTGTTAGTCTAAGGTTTATTCATGCTTATGATTTCCCTGAGGGAGGATGCATTCATGTCACAGGCCTTCCAGAATGTTTGTATCCATCTCTGAAAATCTGAGGAATCGAGTAAGCTGAGTAAAGGGATGAAACACAGCTCTTCCGTGTTTCAATTGACGTGTTTATCAGAGTAACTGCTGGGAGATTAGCAGATGACTATTAAAATCTGTTTCTTTCATTGGCAGAACCAAACAAACATTAAAAATATACATCAGTGACTTTGCAATGTCTAATATTTGATTTTGAGTATCAAACCTCCCCACTGGATTCCAGCCAATGGAAGATGCAGGACCCCAGGGCAGAACTAAATGGGGCTGCAGAGAGCAGAGGTGGACCTAGGGCTCCTGAAAGGATGGGCTTGTGGCAGGGGGACCCAGAACTGGAGAGTCACCGAGAACTAAGTCAATGACCGGAGTCACACAAAAGTTGTGTTGGGCAGCAGCTCAAAATTCTCATAAGTGTAGTAGTAATTTAGGAAGACTCAGGGTTTGCAGGGAAAACCCAAAGAAAGCAAAAGTCTGTGTGGATAGATGGGGTGAACATCTGACGTTTGTGCATTATTTTTCAAGGAATAATGACAGGGTACACCTCCTCTGATCCCCCTTATGACCAAGGGTGCATAGTTGCATGGCTTTATTCCCATCATGGTTTGGGCCAGTAACTTAACTGGCCTTATTTGCATAAATATAAGAATAAAAATAAGCTAAAAGAAACATGGGACACCTACCATAAACAGGAAA